TATATATAGATGTTGCCGTGGCTAGCTAGGTGAGTTATCTGGAATGAGCATACCTGGTGTTAGGCTGTTCCAGGTCAGTGATAAAGCAATAATAGGGAACATAGCTTTCAAAAATAAGTCAGCAGAAGGAGATCCAATATTTTTTCCTGATATATTTCCTTTAAAGGGATACTGTCCTGAGAGCTTAATGGAGGCTGCCATTACTGAACTCTCTTTTGAGAAGGCTAATTTTTTGGCTGTCGTTCTAATGCTTTGAATTCAATTATTTCTGAGTCACTGACCCAGAACAAGTATAGGGATAAGAAGTCCTGACACTTATTTACAGTATACTTGTTCCGGGACTATGACTTAAACGTACCAAAGTCAGACATTCATCATTTTCAGAAGGAGGCCTGCAATAGCAGCCCCATACTTTTATGATGACAGATCAAATTTTAAGTAGTAATGAAAAAAATTATAATTTTGACCATGGAGTTGACATACCAAATGTAATACAGCTCTTCAATATTTAGCTGTGCATTAATTGTATGTGATTTGGTTTAATGTGTTTTTTATTATTTGAAAAAAATGCTTGAAATAAATAATTTGCATATCTGTGAACATACATTGTACCCGTACTGGATGACATTTGAAATTCTGGATTTTATGACTGGTTGCAGTTTTATATTCTGCTCACAAGAAACTAAATGCAGTTTATCTGATTTCACAAAATCTAAACCATCAGACCAATCGATCATGTGAGTAAAGCCTGGATTGTGGCTAAAAACTGTATATATATATATATATACAAATTAGTAGGGATGCACCGATACCACTTTTTTGGGTCTGAGTACGAGTACCGATACTTTTTCTTTTAGTACTCGCCGATACCAATTACCGATACTTTTCTTAAAGGGGCAGATATAACTTTTTTTTTATGCCATCCTGTGCCCAACTCACAATTATGCCCTGCTAACATGAATAGGTTAAATCATGATCCATAGTACATATACAGCACACACTTCCAGTACACTGCAAAAATAGAGTTACAATTATCTCCTGCTAACATGAATAGGTTAAATGATCCGTAGTACAACTACATGTTATGTACTATGGATCATTTAATCCGTTCATATTAGCAGGAGATAATTGTACATCTATTGCTGCAATGTACTCTATATGTAGTACATATAGAGTACACACTGCACACAATAGATTTACTATTATCCCCTGCTAATCAGGGGCGTAACTAGAAGTCACAGGGCCCCATAGCCAAATTTTGTATGGGACCCCCCCCAAACATCCTCCTCCGCAACCTACCCCCACTGCACTACCTACCTCCAGAACATGTTCCCGTGCCTGCGCTGTCTCTGTATTTACGCCACTGGTGAGGGCACAGTGCTGGGCATAGTCAGAGGGCACAGTCCTGGGTATAGTCATGGGATACAGTGAGGTGTATAGTCAGAGGGCGCAGTGCCGGGTGTTGCTAGGGGGTATAGTGAGCGGTATAGTCAGAGGGCACAGTGCTGGGTGTTGCTGGGGATATAGTCAGAGTGCACTGTGCTGGGTGTTGCTATGGGGTATAGTCAGAGGGCACAGTGCTGGGTGTTGCTAGGGGGTATAGTGAGGGGTATAGTCAGAGGGCACAGTGCTGGGGGTTATAGTCAGAGTGCACTGTGCTGGGTGTTGCTATGTGGTATAGTGAGGGGTATGGTCAGAGGGCACAGTGCTGGGTGTTGCTAGGGGGTATAGTGAGGGGTATATTCAGAGGGCACAGTGCTGGGTGTTGCTGGGGGTATAGTCAGCGTGCACTGTGCTGGGTGTTGCTATGGGGTATTGTGAGGGGTATAGTCAGAGGGCACAGTGCTGGGTGTTGCTAGGGGGTATAGTGAGGGGTATAGTCAGAGTGCACTGTGCTGGGTGTTGCTAGGTGGTATAGTGAGGGGTATAGTCAGAGGGTACAATGCAGGGCATAGTCAGAGGGTACAATGCAGGGCATAGTCAGAGGGTACAGTGAGGGGTGTAATAGAATAGGGTACAGCTAGAGTATGGTAATTAATCTTTTACAGACAATAGAGGGTTAAAGAACCAAAAATGATAAAACAAGCGCACCACTGGTGATAGGTCCTAGGTGACAAAAGGGGGAAGGAGTAGCGCTGAACCCATATGGCGTGCAAGCTCCTAGTGTCAGGGAGAGGAACCCTGCAATTCAGTACAAATATAAACAGTGAGTGTAACTATGATGAGTACGGTTCTCGATGTGGTGACAGCTACGCGTTTCGAGGCACAGCCTCTTTCTCAAGCCCTCGTTCACACTTGAACGTTTTGTAGCGCGTTCTACGCTCGACGAACGCTCTACAAAACGCTCAAAAATATAAATCCCATTGTATTCAATGGTCTCGTTCCCACCTTGGCGTATTTCCGCCCGTCCCTAACGCGCTACAAAACCTCCCACGCCTGAAAAGGTACATGTACTACTTTGGGCCGTTTTGTTGCGCGTTTCCATTGGGATACAGTCAAGTAGCCTTCGGAAACGAGCGTTTGTCGCGCAACTTTTTTACCGCGAAACGCAATACGCGATTCAGACGCGCATATGCAATACGCCTAGGTGTGAATGAGACCTTAAAGTGAAGGTGTATCCACATCGAGAGCCCTACTCGTCATACTGTTGCCCTCCTTTCCAGACTTTTCTCCCCCTACCTAAGACTCATCCTGGTAGCCTGTCATCACCCAGCACACACTGAATACCATCGCTCCCAGCCGTTCGCGGCTTTCCCTTCCCAAGACGCCGCGGCCAGGCCCAGCCGTGCACGCGTGCTGCTAGGGATCGTCACAGTGCTTTTACATTCTGTAGCATTGCATCCTGGAATCATCCCCCCTCGGATTCCCTCCGGACACCTGCCATTGTGTCTCTCCATCTTCGGCATACCAGCTTCCTTGTAACTGTAAGTCACACCATTTTGTACATCACTTATTATTATCATCTAATTACATTCCTGGCAGTAGCGCTCCTTACAGATGGGATCGCTGGGCACACACACACACACACGCGCGCGCACTGTCACTCACCGATCTTGGCCAGGATGCCACCAGAATCCACATGCCACACAAGTACGTGGTCCCCCATGTGCTATTCCCAGCGCACCCCCTTCCCCATGTGCTATTCCCAGCGCACCCCTGGGGCCCCGTCCCAACCTCTTCCCGGTCCTCATGGTAAACGGCGGAGCCCATGTCCCTGGTCTCTCCTCCGACTCCCGGCCGGGCCTATTTGCTGGGGTGGACCTGGAGTAGAGCTCCACGCGTCCCTATTTTAATATGGTGTGATTAACATACGGACGCGTGTGACAAGTACTTGTCAAAATGCCCTGTATTGGTCCCGATACCGATGCTAGTACCGGTATCGGGACATCCCTAATACATATATAGCGCCAACAGCATTCCATTCTTCAACCCTCTTGTCCGGGATGGTGTCTGGTCTCACAGAGGCTATTTGGCCGGTGAGCAGTATGTGGTTTTCCTTTTTGGCCCCAACACACCCACCCACACTGGCAGTTCTCTCACCTCCTACCTAGGCCTCTGGGAATGCGCATGGGGTTAAGTTTGCCTTCTTGGCCAATAACAAACACACTCACACTCCTAATTTTGTCTCTAGGAGGGCACAGCAGGCACATAATTATTTTGACATTAAAAGAGCACTCCAACATCCATCCTGTCCCAGGTTTTGGAAAGACACTTGCTTGTTTTCCATTTTGCACAACAACAGCATACAAAGAGCATTTCCAACCCCAAACTCTAGGAAAGCCTGCTATGGTTGGATTTCTTCTTTTGCACAGAGAATTTTACTACTAAAAACAAAAAACAACGGTCGCTTTTCCTGGTGCAGATAAACCTTTTACTGATTAAAATAGTATACAGAAATGTACTTGTAAAAGAAGCAGGGGTTAGGAACATAAACTGGACTGATAATCCTTAGTGATCTT